AGGACAGAAAATGACTTCTATACTTTTACAATTTGCCCAAAATTTTAGGAGGTCTTTAGACCGAGCCAACTATAATTAAAATTGGGGTTACACACATAACCACACAACCACCCAGACACCCCTGTTAAAAGGTAAGGGAGAAATTTAAACAAAATAAAATAAAATAAACACCAATGAAAAGCCTTTAATCACTAGAGTGATCGGCAGAGAAAATTATTTTTCCAAAAATGTTTTGAACACAAAAGTCACGTGTTTTATAAAAAAAGTTTCTCTGGCTACTTTTGTTACACGGTTAAATTACGTGTTTTATAATTGTTTAAAATTTTGAAAATCTGGGGGGGAATGATAAACAAATAATTAAATTTGAACGGCCTTACAAAGTTAATCCTGCAAAAGGAGCAACTATATGATAGTGTTAGCGACCTTAAGTTTTATTTTCTCATGATCTTCTTCTTGTTGCAATTGCAATTATTACTAATCATAATTCCACGAACTTGTGCATTCCACGAGGCTAATTAGTTAATCTTATTATTTAGTTAGACTTTTGTACAATAATAACAACGCGTATAAAAAGGACCCCAGGAAACTATATAGGTTATTACCGCGGCTACTGCAAATTACGAAATTTGGAAAGATTTTCTTCAATCAACCAGTCACACAGTGAGTCAAACTTTATATCAAACCCTAAAAATAAAAATCACTTGTTTTTTATTTTTTAGGGGAGACACAAGAGACATGAGAGACATGAGAAAGATTCACGCGCGCATGGCAGATCGTAACAATAACAATTGAAAATAAAATATATAAATAACACTTAGGTTTCCCCTCTTTCAAAAAGCAAGCAGTAAGAATTTCCTTCTCCACCAACATCATCCATTTTATTCTTCTTCAGCAACATCCATTCTATCCTTCGACGACGACAAGACCTTCCCTCTGTTATATTATTATTATTATTATTATTATATTATATTTATAGTTATAACATTATTGTATATAGCTGCAGTATTTTATTTTAATAATAATAATAATAATAAGATTACCCATTCTGGGAATATGTAATAAAATCATCAAATAAAATTTTATTCTTCTCATTTTAATTTATTTAAACATTATTATTATTTTTTCTTTTAATATTTTATTCGTAAAGGACAAGTGAGTAAAAGAGCTCTACTGCCAATGAGGTTGTTCGTGCGTTCATTTCCGGCTCAACTCTTCCTCCGATTGGTTCTTTTTTTTCATCCCTCCGTCCTGATGCGCTTTTGTCCCGAACAGTACTGCAAACAGCCGCTTCTCCCTGAGGTATTGTTGCGAGACGTTGCTCAACTTTTGACCAAAATAGGGTCAGACACTTAATGTATTGATCGGCTTATTTTTATTCCACATGGCAGTAAGTCTTATTATAATAATAAATCAATTATATGGGCGGACGGGTTTATAATTTTATGATTTATTGAATATTTATGAAATTAAAATATATAATTCAATATTTTATTACAATAGGTGGAGTATACTATCTGGAAATAGTGGATTGATTTGTGCAAGTTTTCTGAAAGTAAAAGTACGTGTAACTCTAAATATTTAATTCTTGAAGAAATGATAATTTGTTTGCGTGATATTGACTATTATTATTTATTTATTTTACATATTATATTAGCGGGTCGTTTTCTTCAATTTCTTTATATACTCCTTTATATACTCCTTTATATATTCCTTTATATGCTCTTTTATATAGTCCTTTATATAGTAATAGTCATTTATATATTCATATATGTGCTAGTTCTTGTGTTACTTTATATTTTCTTTTACGCCTTTATTTACACATTCATTCACACCAATTCTTTTCTGACACATTCGATCATATTCGGTCTTTATTTATACCTCCATTTTTATTCGCGCTTCCATTCACACCTTTTCTAATTCTTTTGTTCATTGATTCGCTTTAGCTTTTTTAGTTTTAGTTTAGTTTTATTTCAGCTTTAATTTAGTTTTATTCTAGCTTTAGTTTAATTTTTATTTTAGCTTTATTTTAACTTTAGTTTAGTTTTATTCTAGCTTTAGTTTAGCTTTATTACTATCCCCACCTTCATATATACCATCGATTTCTTGAGCGTTTTTACTTTCCTTTATTTAAGCTTATGCTAGTTTTTAACAAGTGTCAGGTAAATAATCAATTATATAATAATTGATAATTAATAACTGATTAGTTAAAACGCTATACTAATTGTCATGATAAATAATAATTTTAAAGTTAGGGCAACATTTTATTACGAACGCACGTTATTTAGCCATCAAAGGAGGGATAATATTTAGTTAGAAACAAAGGGCTGGTTATGGAGGAAAGAGAAGTTGAGCCGATGAGGAGAGGCATTATTGGATTTTTTGGTTTTGGTGTTTGTTGATTTATCCAGATAGTTGGTAACAAATTGATTCGATATTTGTTCGAATTGATTATAATTATGATTTTGGATTTAGAAATATTAACGCTTTAATCATCAATTTATCTACTTTATTGACATCATCATCTTTAATTTTGCTTAATTATTGTATCCTTCATTATCATTATCATTTATTTTAATTTTTTACCAGTACTTTATTCATTTGTCATGGAAGGCAGAAGACCTAAGGTACAGACGGTACGGACTCAACGAGGATTGGTAGTGAAGCAGACTAAATCAGGTTTATATTATTATTAATAGTCGAATTATTAGCTTCTTAGTAATAGAATTATTTATTATTAGTAGTAGTTTTAGTATTAGTTAATTTTTTTTTTTTTAAATGTTTGATTTAGTCCGCTTCTCAAGAAAACTACCCGCAAAAATTTCTTTAGGCGTGATGCTTTCATTTTTTGTTAATATTATGAAAAACCAATTTTTTAAATTCATGTATGTTAGCAGTAGTAGTAGCTTTAGTATTTGTTGGTTGTAATCACTTTGGACGTGGCATTGGATTGGTTGGCTACGACAGTATCATTGCGATGGAGGGGCGTGGTATTTTATTTAATGTATTAATTAATAAGTTTTATTATTAAAAAAATTGTTAAATATTTGATTAAAAGTTGAATGCGTATGGAATAATTTCATTGTCTAGAATTTATATTTTTAATATATAGTCAATATGTAAACTTGACAAGTTGGTTATGTGAAGGTGGCGACTTATCAAGTAAACCGCGTTATAGTTTTGAAAATTTATCAAAAAAAATTATTAATTATATCGAATTTTGTTTTGTTGCAAATATTTAAATTTTGAATGATATTTAGAACAATTGTATTATCTCATCATCATTAATCATTTCAACCGTTTCTATGCTATAATTATCTACTATTAATAAATAGTCAAAGCTTGTCAGTTCCATATGTAAATTTTTGTTTTTTCCCTATTGTAACAAGAGACAATTAATTATAAGGGTATTATAAAAAAAGTCCACTATAACGTGCATGTGCAATAAGCTTTTCATATCGTGGAAAAACTAATCAAAAATCGAAATTTATAAATAATATATCATGTGAAACTGACGATTTGTTTCTTGAACCTCACGTTTTGAGAATGTAGATCCTTGGATTGGGTGGATGATCAGCAAAAGAAGTGGATATCATATTGTCAAAATGTTTCAAACCTGTTCTTAAGTAAGTTATAAACTCGATAAGTCGGACTCATCAATCAATTGTAAATTATCAGGTAGGTCCTATGTAATCACTGGCAGAAATAAACAAACTTATTTTGTGCAACTTTATATTATAATCATGTGATATAATCAGTTTATCGTTTAAGAATATATTGAATTAAAGAAAAAAAAATTATTTACCTGATAACAAGAACGAATAAGCCAAAAATTGCATTTAAAATCATAGCAAAAATTTTAAAGATACTTTGTAACTAGAGATGTTAATCTGCTTCGGTCGAGCATAATTAAACTGAGTTTAAACACAAATTCTATTTTAAGATTACGTCATAATTTAATTTATTAGCAATGTTTGAAACACTTGTTCAAGAAAATTAACAGCAAATAATAAATATATTAATATTGCGTAATTTATATTCGAATTTGATTGCTCAAAAGCCTGTTTTTAAAAAAGTTCAATTTGCTTAAACTCTAAAACCAGATTGAGCCGAACTGACAAGTAATTTGACATAACGCGATAACAAGATTTGCCAAAACAAAGAATTCCCATTAGATTAATTTATTTATATGCATTAGATAGTATTAGTATTAGTATTTATGTATTGATCTGAATCAGATTGAATCAATCAAATCAAATCAAATCAAATCAAATAATGATTCATTGGATCAATTTATATATTGATTCAAATGAAACAGATCCAAGAATTAGGTGAATTTATCAATTTGCATATCAGATGATTTGATTTTTTGGACCCTTTTTTCAAGCTTTATGTCTCATTGTGTCTGCAAGTATTTTTAAAATTTATTTGCTCTGCTAAAAAAACTATTTTACTATTCAATAGCCCGTCAAATCAATGAGTTGTTGCTAGTACAAAGTATTCATAACGTTTGATCATGCTGTACTGAATTTTGGGTTCAAATAAAATCGGCGCATATGGTTGGAACCTTATTTGTTTGGTAGAAAATTTAATTCCTGACTGTAACAGTTCTTTTTCATTCATAATTGTGAATATCTAATGTGACACAGTAATACGAAATTTATTTCGCGTAGCGCGTTAAATTAAAACGAAACGTCACAACTTTATTTATATATATTATTGTCATATTACTTATTATTTATATTACAGTCCGGTTTGATTTGATTCGAACACAGTTTTTTCGTTCAAAGCTTTGCAAACAAATTTATAAAAATAGTCTTAAAATCAATGCGAAAACTTGTAGTAAGTTATGTTTGCATTATTTAGGGATTCTTTGTTGATTAATATATTTATTAGGATTGTACAAGTCAAGCTTTGACAATTTCCAATTAATTATTTTGGATGGAAAAATTTCTTACAACCAACTATTCAAGGATTCTTGCTCCTCGACATTCTCTACATTTATGATTACTCCTAGAGCACTTTCGACCACAACTTTTCATCCTAATGTTCAGATAGTGGTGTCACCAGATATTTGTTCTATATTGCTTATGTATTAATTAATTTATAATCATTCTAAATAGTTTTCCTTCTTTTTAGATTACAATAGTGGTAATTATAAATTGAATTCATTCTAGTTTAATTTTCTTTTTTCTCAAATTTAGAACTTTGCCAAAAGTATCAATACGAGCTGTAGTCCCATACAATAAAATATTGTTCGTTAGCTAGCTACTGAATTTGTCAATAATATTTGAAAAAATAGAATAATCACTATGTTTACTACATAAAGTAAGCAATGACTTTTAATAAAAAAATCGTCAAAGTGTAATTTATAGTTGTGACCCAATTTTTTTATTTAAAATCTTTAAAAAATATTCAATTAATCTTTCAACAGATAACATCAGACTGGACAGAGTTATCTAAAGTTCTCAAATTCATTCCATATGGTATCCACAAAGAACAATTTCTCAAGCCCTTTTGCCGTATTATATGGTATTTTATACCATACCATACCAGTGCTTAAATTCAACATTCTCCCCTTCACACCACACCCTCCAAAAGAAGATTCAGCATTGACTTAATATGGCCACACCATACCATACAATACAATTTGCAAGTGTTACCGAGAAATTTTGAATTTGGAATATGTTTACAAATAAAAATCCTATTGATTAAATTAACAGCAAACAATTCACGAATTATTTTTTAATATTAATAATCTTTTAAAAAAAATCTATTGTTTAAAAATTCACGAATTATTCTATTTTTTTTTTGTGGTGGAGGCAAGTATCAATAATCTTCTTTATATTTTTAAAAGATTTGGATTAATTATTATATAAAAGAACTTTAGCCATTTAAAGATGTAACCTTGTTATAAAAAAAAAAGGTGCATAAACTTTCAAATTAAAAATCTACAAATTAATAATAGTAATAATTTGTACTATTTTATTGCCAATCGTAACTTCAACCGAGGGAGCAACTGGCGGAAATGCACTGTTCTATGAAAAAAAGAAGCATCGTGTTGAATCGTTCTAATTAGGAGGCACGTTGTAGAATGCTAAAGTGACCTTTCTACCCTGACCAGTACAAGCAAGATTATTTCTCAAAGAGAAACATGTTATTTTGAAATAAAAGAGGGAGCATCTAGAAAACAATTCTCTCTTCAGAATGCACTTGCTCTAACTGTTCATAAAACCAAGGATTAATTATACCACATGTTACATCGAACATTGATAAAAGTATGATTTGCTGAGGGACAAGTATATACCGACTACAAATTCTTGACTATTCTCAATTAAAAATCAACTTTTTGAAATATAGCTTTATTAAATTTAAATTTTGATGTGAAATAAAACTCCTAGCAACCCCTTACTAAAATCATTCATTATTTATTTATTATATTAGTTACCAGATATATTTGGTTAACCAAATATAGCACTAACTAGGTTGATAATATGTTAAAGTCCTGTTTAAAGTCGATAAAATCTTCAAATGTAGAAATATGTCAGCAAAAACGGTTACAACTAATCAATATATATATATATATATATATATATATAACTTGAATTTCATGTTATGGGTTTATCGAGTTGAAACTTGTCCTCAAATCAAAATTGTTAACTTCTTTTTTATTCATTTTGAAAGTACAAACCAAACTCTAAACCATTCCTTCCATAATTAATCATTTTATTTTAATTGGTTGGGAGTAATGAATAATTTTTCATTTTATTGTGCAACAAATAAACAAATAAAATTAAAAAACAATTTTTGTTAGCAATGACTTTACCACTTGAGCTTTTAACTGAAATATTTAGATACAATGAAAGTGATTACACAACATTATATTCTTGCGTTTTTGTCAATAAACAATGGCACAATATTAATATTCCAATTTTATGGAGAAATCCATGTTATTCTCTTAACAGCACTAAAATAATAATCAATTGTTTATTGGAGGAAGAAGATAAGGATTTCTTAACTAGAAATGGTATTGAGTTAACTTTTGACCGATTGGAGAAACAACCATTATATAATTATGCTCGATTTTGCACTAAACTTTACTTTATCAATAGTTATGATTTTCGAATGCTGACAAAAGCTCCTGGTTTAAATATTTTACAAAATAGACTAGTAAAATTTATTTTAGATCATTCAGCAATTATTAAAGAACTTATTACTGTTAATATAAATTGTCATTGGGTAAATAATTATCATAGATTTAATAATAGTTTTCAGTATCTTAATAAATTAACTTGTTACAGTTCTGTTAGAAGTGAATTTATTGATAAATTAGCAAATATTTGCAAATCTATTCATTCATTACGAATATATCATAATACTTATAACAATAAACTTGAATATAGTCTGGTTCAGCTAATTAAAGCACAAAATCAAATAAAGAAATTAGCCATTGATTCATGCACTAGTCAAGCTTTATCAGATAATTTCAAAAAAGCAATACTCACACATTCACAATCAATAATCCATTATTCAAGCAGAGGAAAAAATAATATAGATCACATATTATTACCAGCACTTAAAAATCTAAAGACTTTATCATTAATATCAACTGCTGCTCTTTATGGTAATGATGATAGAATAAAATGTTTGAAAAATATTTTACTGCCAAACCTTGAATCTGTGAAGCTACAGATTCATCATTCATTTTTATCAGACTTGTCTGATTTTATTAATATCAATGGAGAAGCTCTTAAAAATCTGAATGTTGATGGCACACCAAATGATAGTGAATTTTTGAGAAAGTTATTTCAATCAATTGCACAATGTTGTAAAAATCTAGTAGATTTATCAATATTTTATAAGGATGAAATGGACCAGGAGTTAATGGAGGTATTCAACAATTGTATTAAATTAAAAAGTATTGAATTTAAAAAACTTGATTTTTTTTCTTTGGATAAAATAGATGGTGATAGGGTTTTAGCAACTTTAAATCAAGCATTACCAAAAAAATTAAAATCTATAATTTTTTTTCTTGAGGTTTCTAATATTAGTGACAAATCTTTTGATAATTTAATGAAGTATTGGAAAGGACCCAAACCATTTACAATAAAATTCAAGGGATTATCAGAAATTAGTGATCTTGACAAATTGATAAAAAAATATCAAGATTTAGGGTTTTTAAATTAAATCATATAAATTTTTTATACTTATTATTAATATATAGGTTGGAAATAAATAAATTATTTTTCATTTTATTGTACAACAAAAAAAATTTATTTTTTTCTTTACAAAAAAAATGTTAACAATAATTTTCAACTGACTTGGGATATTGGATGTGGATATTTATAAACCTTTTTTGAATTTTTGTATTTAAAATCATACCATTGAATTAAAGCCAAGTTCTATCTGAATAATTGAGTTCAAATAGCAGGAGAGCCTGAATATCGAATAGCATAAAGGTTAGTTCATGCAAAATGTAATAAATTTAAAGATAATTATCATACAACTTTCCCATAGCAATTTACATTGTCATTTGGATGTTCTTCTTCATCCATGCAGATCATAATGTATTTGTCAGAATAAGGTTTTGCAGTTTCAAATAGTTGGGCTTCTATATTTATTTACAATGTTTTGTCAGCTCTTGGATCCTTATCAAGAAATTATTTCTTTTGATTTAGAATTTTGATTCTTTATCTAATCATTTAGAGTCTCACGAGTTTCAGCTGTTTAACCATCAAGTGAGACATAATATTTAATGTGTGATGTACCTATGGAATGTAATTTAGGTAATGGATGGCTTTTAATATGATTTCAATCAAATCTTGTCAATTTTGATCAATAAAATCAGCATCAATTTCATTTAATTGTTCACCTAAAATCTTATCTATTTCTGAAGAGTCCCCATAACTTAGACTATTATTATGGCTTTTAATATGTTTTTGAATAAGCTTGCCCTCCTATTCAAATCCTTTTATTCCAATATGAGGTCTATATAGGTTCTATATATCTGCACCTTCACACCAAATAATGCTCTCTGTACATGAAACAGTATGCAGTACTCACTCAACACTCCCATCAATACAAAAATTAGAAAATGTCAACCATTACAATATCTACATATATGTCTATAATCCAACAAATTCAAATTTTCTATGGTGGTTTTCTGATGAATTTCACAATCATGATCTAAATAAAAAATCAACTTTAAATAATAAAGTGGAAAGCAAGGATGATGAAAATTTAAAAGATAGGAGTAATGAATTAATTGAATATTGAAAAGGTTTTCTAAAAAAGCAACTACTTACATTAATTATTATATGTTATAATTTGACAATAAATTATAATTGATGTGAACTATATGAAGTATAAGGTGATATTGACTTATTAATTTATCATGATGAAATTAATAATTCTAAGCTGTTATAGTTGATGTAGATTGTTTTCTAAAAAAACCACATCACAATTTTCTATAAAATGTAAATTTAATTAGTGCAAATTCGTTGACAAAAATTTTAATAAATTATTTACCATATTAAAGCAAGGCTGAAGTTGTAAAATGGATTCAACTGTGTCATATGCAGATACCCATCAAGTCTTGCAGTATTTTTTTAATGATCCACCACTTATTTGGAATTTTCCAATACTATCTTCAAGAATTTTAGTTGCACGATGTGATTTCTTAAAGAATTTAATAATTTTATTGTATATAGAAATTAAATTTTTGGAAAATCAATGTTTTAATATGTCTCCAGGTATCAAATTGAAACAATGTGCAATGCAGCACAGATTTAACATCAGGAAATTTTTCCTGCCATAAATATTACATCCATAAATTTTAATATGTAAAGTTGTAATATTTGCATAATATTACAGGGCCCACTGTAAACTTATGTAAATAGTGTAATAATTATGTAAATCCACATCAGAAAAAATTTCCTGACGTATATGGATGTTTAGATATGATTATTCTTCTTGCTTCTTTCACATTAGCAGCTCCATCTGTAACTATTTTCTTGTACCAATCTTAATTAAGAACCTCTTCAACTTGAAATGCAATAAATTTCCTGTATGACTTTCTGCTGAAAAATCTTTTAGGCAGTAAAGATACTGTTGCCTACTTGATGTATAAATTATAAAATTCCAGACAGATATATTTCTTGGATTTGAACAACCAGTGCTAATTACCAAATTAAAGGTATTATAATATATATTGTCAAAATTTATTTATAAATAGAAAAATTAAATTCTATAGATAAAATTACCTAGTGTTAAATTATTATCCCTTTCTAATATGTTATTTAACTTTTGATTTACCAAAGCCACTTCATTATCAAGTAATCTACCTGATAATACTTCACTTGATGGTGGATGGTATGCAGGACATAACTGTTGCAAGAGCTCAACAAAATATGGATTCTATATTGAGAAAAAGGAATACCAGCACATACAAAAAGCTTTTATCAAGGACCTATTAATAGAATGCTTCCTTTCTTTGGTAAGTGAAGTGCTTTCATAAAATCTAGAAAGTAAAGATTATTCTGAAGAAAGTGAAATGTCATTTGATCTAGTATTTTTTTGGTTAATTAATTCAAGATACTATTTTCTTATTTCTAGATAACATCCAATACAATGATTTGCTAAATAAGCCATAAGTCTTGTTGCTTCTCCGCATTGAAATTTTGAGGTAGTGCAGACATTTAGCAGAAAAATGACCTTTAGAATTTTCTAACAAGCTCTTTAATAAAATGTACCCAAACATCAGCTGCTGGTCTTCATAATTGAGAGGACTATCATGTGACATTTTAATGAAGATGTAAATTTAAAAATAATATGGGCATGCTTGCAACAAAACCAGACAAAGTGAACATTGGCATTACCAAAATTTCAGGGATCAATATTGTTTTTTAATATCACAATTGTATATATTACCAATGCAATGTGATCAATGATATTTGTTTAGACAAAAATAGCTAATTTACATTAGGTCTACCATTTGAAGTAATTTAAAAAAAAAACAGGATGAAAAAAATTACACCTTATGTTTTCAAAATAAAATAATACTCAGACACTGGAAGCCTACCTAAAGAAAGAAAGAAAGACTTATGAAATTTACCAAGAAGAAGAAAAATAATTAAAATTAGAAGCAGAATGAAGATATGCTTTAAATTTTTTATTTTTATTAAAATACAAAATATTAACCATCAATAATTAAAAAATATATAACAATTAATTGTAACAATTACAATCTAAACCAATAAATAATAAAAAAAAAATTAATTCTACAATCAACTTGAGACAACTACATAGTAAAAATCAGTTTTGACCTTATTTCGACCAGATCTGCAAATAGTCAAAATAGGTTTGACTTCATGTATAATCACATGAAATTTTTTTTAAATATTAATGTTACACAAAGACTTATAGGGACTTTAAGTCCTGGTAGGACCGAACCTGAAACAATTCAGTCCTGGACTTTTTGGGACTCATTCCCAAAAGACTGGTTAACATTTTTTTTTAACAATGGTGACAATTTTTGATGAAATTAAAAACCAACTCAACAATGCACTTGAAGAGCATAGAAAAGGCTGATGAAGAGTTGAGGCAGTGGAGGGGGAAGTGGGAAGAGAAGTTGAACAATCTGAAGAGGGGAAGAGAGAAGGAGGAATATGGAGGCGAGAATGAGGAGTTGGAGAAAAAAGAAGAGGAATTGGAGAAGGAGAAGAAGGATTGGAGAGGGCAAGTGCGATACTTGCAAAAAAAATTCACTGAATTCAAAGAAAAAGGTAATGAACAAATTGTGTAAAAAAATTTATTTTTATTCATTCCATTTCATTTATTTAAAATAAAAGCTAATAACACAGTAAAGATAACGTAAATTGATTACTTACTCATGCATTTTTATTACTTTCTGTCTGATATTATCAACAATTTTTAGGAATAAATAGTATGAAGAAAAAAAACATTTTATCAGATCTTGTTAAATCATTCTGTGACTTGAATAATTTTAAATTGCCAAGTGACCCAAAAGTTCTAGAAACTATTCTTCTCCAACCATTTTGTATAAAGATCCCTATTGAATCTGAAGTATATGAGCAATGGAAAAGGGAAATAATTGACATCAATATTGATGATTATTTTGTTAATGGTGATCTATCAGGTTCTACAGCAGCTGAATTTAGTGCAGAGTGTGTACATGCTCTTTCTAGAAGAATGGAAGGTTCAGAATTTCGTCTTATCAGCAAATTTGATAATATTGTTATCAATATTTGGGAAACTTTAAAGACATATCAATCTTTAGCTATTGACATTAACCGAAATGTTAAAGATCCATCAGGGATTACAATTGATTCTTTACAACCAGATGTACTTGTATGGGTTCAAGATGCATTGGTTTTCAAAGCAGAAAAAAAGAAGGATGGTAATTTTAGTGTAGTAATGGAGGAATTAAGGGATAAAATGAAGGATTGGAATTTGGTATCATGTGGAAATCTTCCTTATATTCTCTCATATGGTGCAGTAAAGGAAAATCTTCAATTCTTTGCCATTACTAAAGATTCCAATTTGATGTCAATTTCACCTCGCTATAATATTTCTACATTTGCTGGTGGTTAAGATAATTGTGTAATAGTGGATATTGATTTCAAGGATACAGAATATTGCTGATTTAACATTCATCAAATCCTTTAGGTTTTAATATCAACTCCGAACATGTTTAAATGTTTTCTTGCAGCAGCAACCCTACTTCCAGAAGTTCCATTTCCCTTCTTAAAAACTTTTGATAGACAAAGTGGTGCATCTATTACATTTGTCTCAAGTGATCATATCCAAAAAAAAATAAAGAATTTTGAAGATTATATTTACAGTGACATAGAAACTTTACAAGAAGTTTATAAAATAATTGAATCATGTGAGTATACTGTGAAAGCATTTTCAATGCCAGAAGTGCTAGTGAAGAAACGTGGAAAAAAAATAATCAAAACATATGTTGTAGATATTGCACCTGTGTGCTTCAGACAGCAACCAAAAAGATATTCAAGAATTAAAAACTGCAATATATCAAATACTTAAGGTCCTTGAGATTGTTTATGATTCAGGTTATGTACATCGAGATTTGAGTTGGGAAAATATTTGGAAAGATAGCCATGGAAGATTCATTGTTGGTGACTGGGAACATTCTGGAAGGTTGGACAATATTCCAAAATTTGTTATTCAATGGTGGGCACCAGAATTACATAATACACCTACATCACCATATACAGACAAAGCAGATATATATCTTGTTGGAAATTTGCTAAATACATTGGATGTATTATTATCAAATGAAGCAGTAGCATTCTGTTCACTCTTGATGAAAAATAACCCAAATGAACGTCCCTCTGCTGTAAATGCTTTGCAGCATCAGTGGTTTAATAAGGTAAACTTTAAATGCTAAATTCTTTTCAAACTTTTTCTTTGGATATTAATTTCTATGTAACATCATTAAATTTTTGCAAAATAACTGAAAAGCAAATAATTTTTCATACTGCCTGAATTTAAAGTACAAATAAATCTTTTACAAAATAATATTTTATAAATTACTGTTAGTAAGTAAATTTATAAATAATAGACCCAAATAAAATCATTAAATTCTTAATACTTACTATTTCTTCAGAACAATCAATGCTAAGCTATAAAATTTCTTTGTGAATCCTTTAACAATTTACTTATTGTGAGTCAAAGCAAAATAAAAGATTATTTGTTTGAGGTAATATGAAAAGTAATGATAAATGGTTATTAAAATTTGATCTCTAAAATTTTTGTCCAGCTGTAAAAGACTGACTTGGATTATTGTTGTTAACAGAATTTAATTTAAAATAAAAAGCTTACAAAGTGAACATAAGATTATATATATAGGGATAAGTGTATATGAAAAGTAATAATAAAAGTAACAATTATAATGGTTCTAATGAATATGAAAAAGCAATTGATTTTTTGAAAAAGGGTTGTGATTGTGGTTGTTCTTCAAGAATTCACAAGGAAAAATTTGCAGAATTAAGGGAATCCTTTCAAGCTCTCTCTAAAACAGAGCAAGACATATTTTTAATTGCCCAACTTAAAGCAATGGATGGTGGATTGGTAAGTACTAGTAGACACCTTAAAAAGAAACCAGGTCTAATAAAAGAACTTTCTACCATTGGGATCATAATGCACTTCTTTGTCAAGAAACTTACCTCAATATGTTAGGAATTGGTAGGACTTATTTTGAAAACATTAGAAATCATCTGATAAACAATGGTCTTCTACCAAGAATTCATGGTAATATTAAAAGGATGCCTCAATGGAAAACTAAAATGGTAATTGACAAAAGTGTTGCAGAAGTAGTAAAGAATTTTCTAGAAAATTATGCAGAAGTTCATGGATTACCAAGTCCAGGCAGAAGTATCAATAGAATAACTCAATCAATTGTATTCTTACCAGCTGAAATGAGTTATAAATCAGTACATAGAGACTTTTTAGCTGGTCTGGAAGAAGATAACAAATTGAAATTCTTAAAATATGATGCTTTCAGGAAGTTGTGACATCAATTGACACCAGAAATTCAAATTATGAGTCCAAGGACTGACTTGTGTGATACTTGTCAACATTTTCGAAATGGTTTACATTACAATGCTCACCAAGAGGAAGAAGCTAAAGAATTACTCAAAAAATTTAAAGAACATTTGTCCAAGGCAAGATTAGAAAGAAATTATTATAATAAAAACACCAAATTAGCAGAAGAACAAAGAAAATTAGTTGATCAAAATTATTCAAAGGGCAAAACAAAATATTGCGGTATTGATGCTACTGCTCATTATAGTTATGATTGAGCCCAAAATGTTCATGTACCCCATTCAGATCAACAAGTAAGTAAAATATATTACCTTAGTCCATGTAAAATCCATTTGTTTGGCATTCAAGATGAAGCAATAAGGGAACAAATTAATTATGTTCTTAATGAAAATGAAATCATAGGTAAAGGTCCCAATGGTACACTTAGCATGATTTTTGATGGAATTAAGAAATTGAATAAAGGTGAAAAGCATTTAAAGATTACTTGTGATAATGCTGG